TTCATCATCGATTGCCTTCATTAAAGTATCATAAACTTCCTTTTGTTGGTAATTCAACAGGGGTACATTCGTTTGAACTACTAAATCTAATTCATAATAATAATAAGTAATCATATTCACGTTCCCGTTCCAATTCTCGATTAAATGCGTCATTCATTTCACGATATGGTGATGGCATTCCTAACCAGATTAATAAATTACCGCACATGAGGTAACACATATCTTCTATCAAGAGTAAAGCACGATTATGTATCTCCTCATTCATCTCAATATCGTGATTTCTGGAACTGTTTGATGTAAAATATCTTCTGACATATTATCCTTGTATTTGTGCCACAGGTTACATGGGTTTGATGGAAAACATATCGAAATTATGATAGCGAATAATGTGCGTATCTGACTTGGAGATGCAGAGATAATGGCTTCAGCGATTGTCGTATCCCAATGACTATCGTTTTCTAATAACTTCAATTCTTCACATGCAGCACGATATGTTGGGAATATTATACCATTAACAGTTCGTAGTGACTCAAATGACGTTGGCCCACGCACATTTACCAAGCAACAACCCGCAAATTAGAAAACATTCATTATTCTTTGGAATGAACTGTATAATACGACAAGAGCCATCAGTAGAACGCACATCGGATAACCCAGGAACCGCATCGCCTTGCTTCCGTCTTTTTGAAAATTTTTTTCGATGAACTTTCCAAGTATTAATAACGTGGCATCTCCGAGTAAAGCAAAGTTCTTGCAAACTGATAGTTTGGCAGATTGCAAAAAACTGGTCAATGTAGTTGCTGGAGGTGTTCAGCGCGGTGCGTAGCATTCGAAGCCGTGAAATACACTCGTTGACCATTCTCCAGATGCCACCGCCAAATGCGTAACAGCGGATGACGATCGTGAATGGGAAATTGCAAAATATACGGCCAAATCGCCTCATTACAGTTCACATAACGACCAACTTGATAGCGTGAAAATTCATCAGTTGGTATTCGAGGGATTGCCAATCCAAAAAACCGCCATATCACTGCCTTTCGTGAATATTTGCAAATATATTTTATGGACTTAACTGAATTGCAGTATTCAACGTGCAATGTGTCTTGAACGATTTAGAATAAGTGGCGAATATGGAAACAATCCAAACTGTTGTCAACAAAACGAAATCCATTCTTTTCACTTTCGTTGTGGACAGTTTGTCCGTTGTCATCTGGTGATCGACGCGAACAACCGGATAACCATCATTGCAGTGACAGTCTCCGCCGTTAATTTCCGTGGGATATCGTTTAGAGCACTTTCCAATCGACCATGCAAGGTGATTGATTGATTGACCACGATGGTCCATGAATTCATATTAAGTAATGCAACATCATGTAGGTCTGGATCGACTTCATTAGCAGGAATCTCGGCAATATGATATCATCTCTATTTGAAGATCAAGGAAAAATTCTTTCCACAACCAAATAAGAATATGTGCGTGCGGCTCGCAGCACGCTTCATTCGATTGAATACACTCAGCATGAGTATCTCTCAAAGACGCGTTGTTTAACATAAGTTCATCGGCGGACCGATTTTTGGCCTGAATATACGTGCTGTGATGTCCGTGTCTCACTTGATGTTTATTTCGGGAAGGCTTAGCAATTGAGAGTAATTTTATCCATTTGGATCTGGTAAAGTAATATATGAGATCGGCCGACCCGTTAAGACGACAATATTCATTGCATCTTGTGCATAGTCATGCATATGACGTGGACTACCAATGTATGTCGCCGGCAGAATAGTTAATCGACCAATATTAGCTGCATTTCCTTCAGTACTAACTGCATCACGTAAATGGATGTACTCCTCAGAACGCAGTTTGGCTTGGTTCAACCTAATGAATGTTAAACGTTCCGTTTCTATTTTTACATACATGTCAACGCAATACTGCTGAAACAATCGACGAAACCGCAGCAAATAGTTGTCAGCATTTTGACGAATCATCAAACGATATGCGTAATAATTCATTGAGCTAACTTTCTTTGTAGTTTCTTCACCTGAAAATAAAAATTTGATAATTAACCATTTCAAAGGCAAATTTTAAAGGCAAACAATACAGACATGAACCATTTTTTGAATAAGCATTATTTTAAATCAGTGCCTTTCACAAATAAATGAAATAAATTATGATACTGATACTCACCATTCAATGGATTTTTCATTTTAATTATAAAATAATATCCAACTTCTCCTTGCCAAAACATCAGCGGGTATTGCAAGATGCAATGAGTTTCAGATATTTGTTGCAGTTGCCCAGTATCGCGACGTGTAAGCGCAATATCCCTTTTTTCCAATTGTTCACCAACAATCAGGATGGCAACTTCGTTCTTATAGTCATCACTTGGCATGCGCTCTAAAGCACTCTTAAACAACATGACCAACGCGTGATGTTTATGAAGCAGACGCTGCAAGTCTTAAAGAATTGCTCGCTTCATTCCTGCATTGATCTCTAGGCGTCGATCAAGTTGTTCTTCCACGTTGCCCATGAAATATATTTGTAAAAATTTATTATGTGTATCTTCGAAAGGTAGTAATGATCCAATTCGATGATGAATCTGTCCTTGTATCTACAATATAAAAACCAGACAGTATTAACTGGGTTATAAATACTCTTTTCTATGGGAGAGTAGAGTTCAGAATTAATAAAATATACTACATAGGTACCAATAGATAAAGTAGGTTATTCTTTAACTACATTCTATATAAGTACAAAAATAAATACCTTAAATGTCGGATTAAATCCTCGTTCTTCGATAATATCTGCCCCAAATGACGTCATCTGGAAACAACCATTGTATTTTTGAGTATTTGCAAGAAAGTGGCGTGATTCTTATGTTTCGCCACAAAGCAATGAATACAATGGCTCAGGTGGCGGAGTCAAGAATGGCAATTTCACTTTACCATCAAGGCAGCATAATCCAGGCGTTTCTCCGGAAAACTTTAATGCACCACAATACTCGCAAACTACGTCCATTTGCCCAATGCAAACGCTAGGATGCGAGCTGTAATCATTGCTGCAATCGTATTGAAACGCTGCTCGATTCAAATCAGCACTTGATAAATATCTTGTTCTGAGTCGCAAATTATCTATTTGTTGACCTCTGTTGTTCGCTCGACGATTCTGCATTGCCAACCGAGCTGTTTCACGGGCTGCTTCACTTTGCTCTCGTGATTGAGAAGCACGAAGTCGAGCCATACTATCGCGGTGCTGTTCACGTGCAATTTCTTGTTCTTCTTCAGTCCTTTCATTTGCAGTATTTCGTATTCTTCTTGCATCATGGCTTTGTCGGGAAAGATTCGATCGTCTTAGTCGCGGCATCATTAATTAAACTTCACTCAAACTCAAATTTTCAACCATACCGAGTTTTATAGTTCACTTCACTGTTTATACGAATGGGCAATGGCACTATCATTATAATTGTTAATTATTTATTTAATAGAAATAGTTTTATTATTGATTTCTTACAAATATCAAATTGTCATCCATACGTCATTACATAGCTGTCTTTTGCGTTTTGTTATTCCAAGTCTGATTCTTTTTTGTTATACCACGTTTTATAGTAACTGACGTTTCATGTCAAGTCACACGGGAATGCTGACGAAAAGTATCCTATGTCCTTCTCCTGGTTCTAAAAACATTTGCTTTCAGTGAAGTTTGTTATTATATAATAGCATTAGCGGTTTAACACTTTTAAAACAAAAATTTTAACTGCAGTTGTCCTTTCCTAATGTGATCCTGTGTACCAAATAACAGTCTTGTATCTTATTGCGGAGCTTAGTTATGGCAATTTATTTGTTTTTGATTAATGGCGTTTTGTGAGCGTGGCAGTGGTCCGATTACGCCCATCTGCAATACCAACCGTCTCACGGTACCAAGAAACATGTCTACCAAGTTTCATAAAGATATCTTAATTTTTACTCAAGTTAGAGCTTGCACGGACGGACGGACAGACGGACGGACGGACGGACAGACAGTCACCCGGATTTCAACTCGTCTCTTCATCCTGATCATTTATATATACATAACCCTATATCTAACTCGATTAGTTTTAGGTGATACAAACAACCGTTAGGTGAACAAAACTATTATACTCTGTAGCAACAGGTTGCGAGAGTATAAAAATAGTTTTAGTGCTGATTTCACCATCTCCGGATAGCCTATTCGTCAATTAAATTTTCAGTCTTTGACAGTTGCTGTATGAGTTTGACAGTTCTTATTTGACAAATAGGCTATTCCGGACTCTAACAGGTAGTGAATTTAATTAATTTACAGAATAGCTGACGGTGGATCACGCTTGTCGGGGCACCAATATAAAAGACGAAGACTTGAAATATAGGTTGATGGTGATGATAAAGTTGAAAGTACATAACTATGTCGATAAAAAAATATATCAATTTCTGTGAAATTCTTATAAAGACATACATTGTAGACTTACTAACATAAAAACACTCATCAACTTTCGCATAGGTACTTCAGAAGGCCCAATAGACTGACGTGAATAGTATAGGTATAATCCCAACAAATCACGTATTTTATGTAGGTACTTGTATACTTAGAATCCCCCAACAAAACTAGCCCATGACTTATATAGCTTTGTGTATGTAAAGGGCGGCGAAAATGATCTTTGCCCGGAGCGGCTAAATAGCTAGATCGGGCCCTGCAAATGGGTAAGCCGTATATATCGATCAACCTATGAATTTTAAGGATGAAATTTTCTTGGTATTAGTGTGTCATGATGATAAAAGTGGATATAATAAAAATAATACTTGCGTTAGCTCCATATTCGGCATATAAGAATTTCAAACATGCGGTTGGCTTAATACCGTATATGTCGATCAATAGATAAGCAAAATTAAATGGACGATAATATTGCAAATAGAGTTTAGTGCTGAAATGTGGTTTAGCGATGAATATGAGTGAACTCGATCTTGACCTTGACCTTTCTCTAATAAATATAATGATTTTCGATTCTCTGGTTAACTTTTACTCAATATATTAATTTTCCCCTTTGATTGAGTTTATATCACCTATACCTCTTTTGAGCTAATTAGGTTGATTTTAATACACTTACCATAAGTACCTCAAAAATAAAGAAAAATGTAGTAATGAAACTAATATTTTCAATTATAGTTTTGTGTCTTAGTGAATTTTAAGTAGCTGATGGATTTTTCAACTTGAAGAGTGGCAATTGGATTTTAGTTCATAATGTAACTACAATTAAAGTAGTAAATGTTAAAAGCTGATACTTGTTGTTAATAAAGTAGGTGTATACAATAAATTTTGATAAAATGCGATAAAAAAGATAAAAACATATACTTGTATGACACCATGCCATACAATGCCGCATTATATTATTTTTTATTTCTCTGCTGATATACGCGTCATAGATGTAAAACAAATTTGCCTGAAAATTTTATATTGGGTGGTGTTATTCGTATATGACTAAAAGTGTGTGCCTACACTTGTATGTGTGTACCAGCAGTACGCAGCTTTTGATTAGCAGTGTTCGCAGCCACTAAGTCAGCCAGTTATCGTCGCAACGCCCCGAGATACACCTCGAGTGAAGATCGTAACGCGACGTGTTGAGATTTATTGCTATTGAAGCTGATAGTTCGCCTTAGTTTTAAGCTAGCTCGCTTATCACTTCACGAACGTTATTAAACGTTGCCAAATTAGACGTTCGCGGGAAGCTTGTTCGAGTTTAATCAAGAAAACAAAACATGAGCCAAACCAACATGTAACATATAAAACTGACTAAATAAAACTACAGAGTTTCGGTGAAACTTACAAAGTGTAAAAAAACTACTGACAACTCGATTCAGTAATTGGTTTACGAGTAGCTTCTACAGCTACATCACATACTAATAAAACCGAGTGCAGAGGTACATATGAGAAACAACATTTAAACATGGTACAAGTGTGGATTTATTAAAAGCGCAATTGTATATATCGAATCCGATGTATTTTTGTTAACAATAATATGTTTATGTATTAGAAAATTAATAGTTTTAGTTCTTTAATAGTGGTGTTTTGGACAAGAATTGTGCCAAGAAATTAAATGGAAGCTCATTGAGTTGAGCTGGTAATAATATTTGAAAATGTTTTATGATTAACATATCGACGTATTAAATTTTTTTGTGAGCATATTAACAAATTTATATTATTCATTAACAACGCAAAAAATTTCCACAAGCACGTACGGATGCTCATATATGAATTTTTAAAAAAAATTTAAACTTTTAAATAGCTATATTTACACGATGACGCTTCTGTCGTTTAGCCATCAAAACTGGAAATATATTCCTCGAGTACAAACGCTCTTAGCTTTTATTTTCGTTTTTAGACAAGCTACAAATAGTTACAATCTTACACATATGCACAGTCGAACTTTCATAAAGCGAATTTCTAAGTGACAAAAACTAAGCATGGTTTTATAGAAAACTCATCATGTAGACTTGCTTCAAAAGGTCGAAATCCAATTAACGCTTTAATAATTTGCTTACTATGAGCCTATAAATCTATTGCAAACTAAGAACTTATACAAAACTTACTACCGATTATATGTTGTTTACTGCATCTTATAAAATTTTTAATTCGGCACTTCCCCTAAATATACTTATTCCTTTTTTTTTTGTTAAGAAACAAAATTCGTTATAGAGAGATTAAAACGAAAATTGGAGTTGTGGGTAGTATAGAAATATTCGCTGTAAATGAATTCATCATTAGAAGAGTAAAACATACTGAAAATTGAGAGAAATTGCAGTGTCTGTCAATTATAATAATTAGTTATAAAAACTTAACAGAAGTTTATAAACGTGAATTTTACATAGACTGTATATTCAAATGTGCTATGGCATATTCCCAGAGATGCTGAAGAAATTGAAACGAAAGGTCCACACCAGATTTTACAGAAATCTTGAACTGTCGAATACTTTAATTGTTCAAAAAGGTAGAGATATCAAAGTTTCAGTAACTTTACACCAGCAAAATAACGTTGGTTACTAATAAACTTTATTACTTGTATAAACTTGTTTCTCATACTTCTTCGCCAGCTTCGAATGCATCTTGAAATGATACTACGTGTACACGTGCTTACCGACATGCCTATGAACAAACAGGTATTCATGTATAGTGCCTCACAAAACTATTCGGAAATTGTATTTGGTTAGTAAAACGAACACAGAAAATTTTAGATTTGTAAAATTATGTTTTGGGAACTTTGTTATTGCTTCAAATAATGTTTTAACCGTGAATAAAAATTTAAAAAAACTTATTTCTAACAAAGATATTAGTTTAAACTACTTAAAGTAAGTATAAACTTGACCAAACGAACATCACAAAAGTTTCGGAAGTTTAGTTTCTGGCAGGCTTTGCAAAAATCCCGTCATTTATTTAATTAGCAATTTATGTATATAATTTAGTAGCATCCGGTCATATTGTCTTTGTTTGAGAAGAATACGTTAAATTGTGTAAAATATGGTAAGAAAATCAAAAGAAACCACATCTGAAGACAGAAAATTAATATTTAATTTTGGTAAGGAAGGAAAAACGTTGCAGTAGACGTAAGAGCAGAGTATCAAAATCTACCAAGAGAAGCGTTTCAACCATCCACACCTTCAAAGCCTCGCTCAGTATGCAGGAATACGTGTAAGCGATGAAACTGCACGCTAAGAGCTGCTGGCTATAATGGGCGACTTTCACGAATAAAGCCGCTTATAAGTGAAAAAATAGAAAGAAGTAAAAATATTTGAACCTGATTATAACAAAGTTTGGCTAAAAGTGAATTCCGAAATGATAAGGAAAAATATGTTCGGTTAAGCACGGGTATGGAAATATAATGCTGTGGGGCTGTACGTGTGCAAACTGTATCAGAAACATGCTGTTTTTTAAATATTAAATGATAATTTTAATGATAGTTCAGATAAATTCAGACTTTCAGATCACAATACAAAGCTTTGGATATTGTATAACGACCCCTTACTCCCCGGATCTTAATCTGATTAAGCACTTGTAGGCAGATTTGGAACGTGCTGTCCGAAAACACAAAATAAGATCTTAATCTGGCCTACAAAAAGCAATGCGCAAAGAATGTGTAGAAATGTCTGCGGAGTGAACAAAAAAAAATTATTTTCAATGTCAAATAGATTAAAAGTAGTTATAAAGATGAATATATACGCTACCAGATATTAATTAAAAGTAAAATTAATTTTAGTTTATATAACTTATTTTTTTAGCGAATTTTTAGTTGAAGTGTTTTACCTATGCTCCTTTAAAATTAAAATTAAATTTTTGAGTTAAAATAAAGTAATTAAATAATATATTTTATATAATATATAAAACTTTTAAAGGAATTACAAGCATTATCTTTCTTGATTTTTAATTTTCTAAATACTTTTGGGAGGCACTGTATGTATGTAGATAAATATAAGACAAGTTTACGGATGGATTTATGTTCAGTGGGAATAACTTGTATACCAGCGAGCAACAGTTGTGTTTAACGCTCAACATATATTTCCGATATATAAGGCTTCAAATATATTATATCCCTAATAGGTATAACCTTTGATAAAAGAGTGATAGAATAATGAAGTAGCTGGAATGGTTTGAGCGATATTCAAATTTATGATAGGTTTTTCTAGAGTTTCCTTCCTGGATACGTCAGTATCTGTATTAGTTTTCATTGTCTGGTCAGGCGTTAAATATGAGATTCATTTTGTATTTGGGGCTGGGAATAAGTTGCATCAATTGGTATCTAACTACTGACATTTTTAGAAGGGATCTCATCGGAAATATCTGTTGCAGTTACTGGTGAACATCCAAAACATTGAATATCTTTTAATTCTCCAACCGCTGACTTTCTTTTCGAATACTTAAAGTTACTGGGCTGAAGGACCCTCCCCTGTTCCAGAAATTTGTTTTGAATTGTTTACCATTTTCATTTTAATTGCAAACTTAAAATCGGTTCAAACCTGTTAATGAACCAATAATAGAAACGCGTGCTAAATTTTTGCGGTTTCAATGGATTCGAAATTAGCGCCATCTATTAGTCATGGAATTAATTCTGTCGAGTCGGTAAGTGAGTTTAATTTAATCGAAAATTTTACTTTCTATCAATTTCAATGATCTTACCGTAATTTTTCCGGTCGAAACGGATTCAATGATTACACTCATTTTAATGCTGTCACTGAAGTCAAGGCGAAATGTGGCGATTTATTTACGATCAGTTAGATATGCTATAAAAAAAGTATATTGAACAAAAGTGCGGATAAACAATTATTTGAGTGTTTACCACTCGCACTATACTAGGTGTTTGCTTAACTCTTGTTTCATTATCAATAAAAGAACATGCTAATTTCAATAGAATCATATACCTTAGCAGATTTGCCTAGAAACTATTTTTGTTTTTGGTGATGCGTTTGCGTTTACGAATGGAAATGTTTCTGTAACGTAAAGCGTAGACAAACTTTTTGTTTACTTACAACAACTTCAAATCATTACATTTCGCCTCCCATATGGCATGGAAGGGCTTCATAGGAGCCGGTGATGAAATTGAACGATGGGAGTGGCGCCGCCCACCTTTTTTTGAAATCTTATATCTCAGTAACACTATTCCAATTTCAACTAAATTTAGTGCATTACAATATTTTGACATTCTAATGTTAGAGTGTGAAATCGGATTATAACCACGCCTACTTCATATCTATATAAAACATTTCTAAATTCCATTCATTCATATTACAGAATAAAAAACGAGAGTCAATGATGTTATCTAAAAAAAACTTGGCTCAAGGAACTATTATTAAGGTGTATTTTCTTAAGAGAAAATAATTATTTTCTAAAATCATGCAAAAAAATAGCAATAACTTTCTAAGTTTTTTGAATTTCGAAAAACCGTCAACTCTATTATCGTTTAGAACCAAAAAACGTTTCATGTGCGAGAATAACTCGACCATCGAAAAAACCAGGTACATTTGGGAGATTTGGTCTCTTTATAAACAACTATGTGGAGAAATGCCATAGTTAATACAAGAAAAACTATATGATTAGTTTTATTACCATATTATACTTACAGTCTTTTATCTTTGAAAACTTTTATAACTGGAATTCTGAGAAACTTTGAAAATCTACCGAATGCATATTTTATTAGTTGAATTTCATTTCACGAATCTGTACCTTATATATTTGTAAAACCGTCATTCCAGACATATCTTATATTTGTTACTGCTTCTAATTTCAATTTTAAGATAACTGTTAACAAAACATTCAATATGTATTATATTATACCATTTTATTTTAGTAACTATATGTATCGCTAACAATGTTGTTTCTACTGCAATGTTGTTTCTACTGAAAGATTTAATCTCGTCGCAATTGTAGGTGTTCTGACTATCCAAACGTACACAGGCGGTACGACTTTATATTTTGTCGGACGCTCTTTGCCAAAACTGTATGGAGAAAGACGAGGTGGAATCATCTTTTCACTTTCTCCTTTATTGGCCGGCCATTTGCCAGACAGAGTTTGACATATCTCGGAAGACACACCTTAGGAGAACCTAGCGAATTGGTTGGGATTGAAATTGGCCATTTTAATAAATTTGTGATGAGCTCAAAAGGCTTTGTCGATATATATATGGGGTGATGCATTTAAAAGATGTTTTGGATAACACAAAGAAATATGTCCATTTGTCCAAGTGAGATCTATCGATATTTGGATCTACCCTAACACAAAACCTAACCTCCTACAAGAATCTTTACAACCTAAGCGCGGCTTAAACTTTTCGAATTTTGTAAAACATCACGCGAATATTTTAAAGCAGAAAATAAAGAAAGTTCGGGTGTAACCGAACATATTATACTTTTGAAATTTGCGCAGAGCAAAGCCTGCCTAAGAATGTAACATTCCTTACTTGACGAAACTCTTATTGACTTATATTCTGTGTCGAACACTTAGTCGTAGTAGTTAGTCGTAGACTTCTTAGTTTCATTATTACATTTTGCTTCGTGTTCGAAATATTTATTTTAAGATCTTCTTAATTAACTCATTTTATTTACGTACATAAACCACATTACTTTGAAATCTACTACTATCTACTAGTATTACAATAGTACAAGTATATCCAATATTACGTTCACTTAATTTTGACAATACATCTTAGTTGTTGACGTACATACATATATGAATATATACTAAACTTTCAGGCTAGGGTTATTATTGACGTATTTATTTAGCGAATTATCGTATTTTTAGTAGTTTTCAAAATAACCGTGGGGTTATCTTCCGATTTCAATTATTTGCACACTATATGGAAAGGTGTGAAAAGAATTCCTCCTTAGTTGATATAGCTCATACGGTTTGTGAGATATAATAATAACCCAACGATAACTCTCCTCCCGCCCAACCGACGCGAGGGGCGCAATCCGCATACGTGCGGAATTAGCCGAGTCAGAAAAGGCAAGAGAGTTTTTTAAGTGTTGAGATCTAAAACTGCTCAGCTACAGAAAAAAAAATTTCAACAGCTAAAATTTATAGTTACAATATAATAAATTGTTACATTTTCATTCATTAAGGGAAAACAATAAAGTCTTTTTAATTTTGAAAAGTGAGTCAGATAAGTCAAATGTGCTGGAATGAGAATTAAAATCGTGACATATACGGCGGAATGGCTCGTTTAGTTCAAAATTTGATCTAGAGGATTTTAACAGTAAAGGTCTAAACAGCCTCGAAAAGGACATATAGACATTAAACCTATGTATTAGACAGCGGGTCCACGGCCCTTTTTTAAAAATTTTTAGCCCACAGGTGCCCCCATCACTACGATTACCTGCACTAAATTACAATGTTGAGTTCTAATTTGGAGCTTAGTTAAAGCACTTAATAATTTTTCGGGTAACCGGGCGTGGCAATATTCCACCCATGTAATACCAACCTCTATATTTTAAGTAGATAACTCAATTTTTACTCAAGTTATCGCTTGCACGGACGGATGGACAGAGAGAGGGACGGATAGTCACTCGAAATTCAACTCGATTCGTCATCCTGATCATTTATATATACATAACACTATTTCCATCTCGATTTGTTCTGGGTGTTACAAACAACCCTTAGGTGAACAAAACTATTATACTCTGTGGAAACATGCTGCAAATGTGTAATAATTATAAATTTCAACAAGTAGGGAAGTTATAAGTTCGGGTGTAACCGAACATTTTATACTCTCGCAACTTGCAAGGATCAAAGCCGGGAAATTACTTCAGGTGTTGGGAAAGTTTTATATTAAAGGAAGTAATGATGCGATTCCACCCATTTTTAACATAAAAACATACTATTATTGAATGTTTCATTTATTTATTTTATTATACGAATTTCAATTATATATCTTACACATTGACCGATACTTTAGGTAAAAGTCAACTATAGGCACTGGGGTCCACATATTCAGTACCTAGGGGCTTAAGCAGTTTTGGTTCGATTTAAACAATTTTTGGTCACAAGGTGGCATACTTTAAACGCATTAATCACGCAAAGTTTTACCCCTATACAATTATTGTTGCTTGATTTGCATAATGGAAAGTGAAAGAATCAGATAAAATTTAAGATGGTGTTATATGGGAAATAGGCGTGGTTGTAATCCATTTTCGCACTATATCATAGCAATAAGAAAAGAATGTTATGTACCGAATTTTGTTGAAAACGGTTAAGCAGATCCCAAGATATGGGTTTGCACTTTAAAGTAGGCGGTGCCCACGCCCACTATCTAATTTTGAACTTGGTTCCTATAAAATCATCTCATACCATCCCAAATGTAAAATTCCCGATTTCAGTATACCATTTTCACACTATCGATAGAGGTGCTAAAAGAATTTGTTCCCAGTGAATTTAGTTATTATAGCTTTAGCGGTTTAGAAGATATGCATATTAAACCCACTTTTAAATAACATTTTAAACTGCAAATGTCCCTCGCTAATTTGATCCTGTGTATCAAATACCTGTAGCATATGTCTGCCGTAAAAACTGAACGATTAAAATCAAGTTCTTGTATGGAAACTTATCTGCATTCCAGCTATGTGTTTTTAAGTTTTATCTAAAGAGATGTAATATAGGGTTTACTTAAGAAAGAGCGGCAATTTGTTGCAGAGTATTGTTTTGCTTAGCAGTGTCAAATGTCAACGTAAATCATATTTTGGTTAGAAATCCTCGTTATTTAAACTATGACTTTCGAATAATTTCTGAAAAAAATTTATTTATTTTGTAAATATATCAATACCCTAAAAAAATAAGTAAAGTTTTTGGTTTATGTTTAGGTTGTTTACAACAGGTAAGCGTTTCAAAATATTGAAATATATAAAATATAAATGTATGAAATATATATGATATATGATATGATATATAAACGTGTAAACAAAAAGATGTTTATTATTATTATTTAGTTACTAAATTATATTTTGAAATACGATTGCAGGTATACCCCGTTCATATTAGGAATGAATAAATCACAGGTAAATAATTTCCTGCGTTGCCTCATGCATATCGATGATTTTAATTATTTGGCGTTGCATGCACACGCTGTCGGTAGAGGTGCTATAAATTCCAGTGCGACACTGCATTCGCAGGTATCCCAAAGTATTAACCGTGAGTCGACCGATAATGATCATGATCACGACCCTGATGATGATGAATCAAGTAGGCATGATATCTTAGTCGCCAAAGTTACAGCCATGGTGGTGCTTTTCTGCGCGAGTACATTATGCGGCAGTATTCCTTTTTTGCTCAATAAATTCTTTCGTTGGACAGAGGCACATACCAATTCACGCTCAGCAACAGTTGTTAAAGGTTTATTATATTTTGGTGGAGGAGTCTTGTTAGCCACAACTTTCCTGCATCTTCTGCCCGAAGTACAGGAGGGAGTTGAGCAATTACAGGAGTGCGACATAGTTCCCGATTTGGGATTTAGTCTAGCGGAATTCCTTATGTGCGTCGGTTTCTTCCTTATGTACCTGATAGAGGAGGTCTTACACGCATATATACACCAACATATGCTTCTGATGGATAGTGATGCAGGTGCCGGTGCAGCTTTCGAACGTGGACGTAGTATACGCAACAGTTATTTAGTGAGGGGAAAAACATTTGCCAATGAGTCAACAGAAGAAGATGAAACCAAAAAAGGCCCTACGAGCACTCCCAACTCTCCGAGTACCTCAGCAAGTAATGTTGTAAGTGTAGCTGGGCGACCACCAACCCTTTCAATGCAAAACTTGATATCCAATGACGTAGAGAATCAAAAGTACAATGAGCAAGCTCATCATAAAGAGCCACAGAAATATGAACCTCAACAAACATACCACCATCACCACCCCCACCATCATCATGATCATCAACATCAACCCAGCCATGACCAAGCTCATGGTCATGGCCGTGGCCATTCGCATATGCCGATTGACAATGATGGCGATAGTAAAGATGCGATCACATCGTCTCTACGAGGACTGTTCATAGTGTTGGCGCTATCGTTGCACGAACTATTTGAAGGTATGGCCATTGGTTTAGAAAGCAATGCATCGGATGTATGGTTTATGTTTGGTGCTGTATCCGCGCATAAACTGGTGCTGGCATTCTGCGTTGGCGTCGAGTTAATTGTGGCACGCACACGCTTCATGCTCTGTACAGTATATCTGTTGACATTTGCTATTGTAAGTCCGATTGGAATCGGCATTGGCATATTGATCAGCCATAGTGATGGTATTAAATCACCTAACATACCCTCAGCCATATTGCAGGGATTAGCTTGTGGCACACTGTTATATGTAGTATTTTTCGAAATTTTGTCGAAAAACCATGCCGGCCTGGTTGCTTACTTCTTATTGCTGGTAGGATTTCTAGTCATGTTCGGACTACAACAGTTGGGTAAGTGGGATGTTATATCGGATTATGTTAAAATATTGAGGAATGTTTATGAATGCATATATAATTTGGTCTTTTAAGAACATACTGTTTTATAAAAATCATAAAACCTATTAGAAATTTCTACAGATTGCTAAGAGCTTAGAGAAATTCATGATAGTGGAAGAGAATTAAATTCAACAAGAGCAAAAATTTCGTTTGATAATATATTATTTTATTGCACATATGTATGTAAGTAAATAACCGTTGATATCAACCCCCAAACATTCAGATTAAATCCGACTAATTTTAATACAAGTGGCATGTAGTTGTTCAGACATAAACATTGTTAATAGTTTTCAAATAGTTGACGATTAGATTACACAGGCTATCCTAGCGTTAGTCCATCAACGTAGAAAAAAGGCTGATTTTAAAAGACAAACATACTTCCATTGACGAATTTTTATGCTTCCGCATCCTGCCCTTCAAATCTATGGCATGAATAAACGCTAGTAAACTGGACCTATGCTGCTTTTAGAGATAAAAATTAATGATATGAAATATATATGTAAATGATCAGCGTGAGGAGTCGATTTAGCCATGTCAGTCTGTCTGTATACACGCGAATTACCTGTGCAGAGTATTATAGCTTCGGTGCTGCCAGAGAATGTTATGAATAGAGAAGGAGCAAATGTTAAATGAAATCTTTTTGAGTACTAATTTGTAATTCCAGATGAGGGAACATCGAAAAATATAACTTCGAAAAAGAAAAATACACCACACAATATGCGAAATGCTATAAATAGACACAACGAATATTCCTAAATGAAAAATCGTTGCGCATACCTATTTAGATTTATGTTTTCAATTTCTATGATATGACAAATTTATAATTATGAAAAGCCTTCTGAATTAAAAAGCTGTATTACCGGTAAAACCAGAATTCATAATAAAATAACCTTTGATATGCAATTTTCCAACTTTGTATGTGCGTTGAGGAGTAATGCTTATGAACAAAAAATAATAAAACGGGGGCTAAGCGGCCGCGTTTCCACTTTTGTGTGGCTTAGGTCGTAAGCGCGAAGGAGTTAAGCTCATTCCGAATACGAGCATATAAGTTCGAGTCCTAAAACTGATGTAAATTAAATTTAATTTAATTTTTATGTTATTAATTGAGTCTAAGCATATCAAATTCAATTTCTTTAATAGCATATTTTCCTTTCTGATATATCAGGAAAATATGTTCATATGTTTAGGTTTAATTGAATATTTCCTTATTATGCGTATTTACACAAATGTGATAATCACACATGCATTCTTAAATACAGTACGCTGATGCTTGCTTCTTCTTGCACCGCACAAGCAATTTCTATTTTTGTACACACTTTTTTTGCTTTGCGAGTTGAACGATCGCAGGCAAGGAGGGATTGCGGCGCACTGCCACATAATTATTTCAGATATATATTTTATTTATCGAATTTAGTTTAAAAACGATTATAGGTATGAATATATGTGTATATATATATATATATATATATATATATACGAAAATAATTCTAAATGCATCAGTATTTTCAATACAAATTAAGCAACATAATAATATAATAGTACCTCATTAGAACGCCTTGTGATAGTGGCAAGCCAACGAAATAACGGCGAGTTCGCGCGGACATTGTGTTGTTGAAAAACCAAATGACGATTTGTCCACAAACATACATATGTATATACATACATACATACATATATGAGTCGCATACATATTGACACCAAATTGTTTGAATTGTCGCGGAGTTGACAAATTTGTTTCAATCGACAATTTTGCGACAATGTCGGTCGGCTATGTTGTCTCGTTTGTCCTTTTGCAGTGGATTGCTATGAAAGTGGCTTATGCTCTTTTGAAATATTGCGATTACCAATTGGGCTGCATTTCAAGCGTCGTATTTAGATAAAATGGGCTAAATCGAAAACTATGAAACAATGATAATAAGTAAACATTAAAAGTACTATATGGACTGTGCTTAGAATATATAGAAGTAGTTAAAGATTTTTATGAATGGCAATTTAATATAAATTTTTAATTAATGCCATATATAGTGCATAATAGCAAAATATAAATATTAAACTCGCTAATAGGTCATGTTGCCAATTCTCCTTTCTGAAGGGAACATCAGACAAATTCTTCAATTTCTGATTTTAGCAAATGTTGTGAGGAAGCAGCTTTGGGCAACATACAAATGCGAGGGGATGGTAGATTTTCAGTGGTGGAATTGTCTCGTTTACTTTTCATTCATTCATTTTATAAACTAATTTCGCATTTACGGTAGGAATTCTATATGAAAACCAAATGTGGTTTATCAGGCGCACAGAAAATAGCGCGGCGCAGAGTTATGAACGAGCGCACTTTGCTTTGAAGCAAACGCACGTTCCTTATGAATGAATTTGTTATCGTTGTAATATGAAATACTTAGAAAATAAGCCGCGAGTTCGCTTGAATATTATTGGCCGATGATGGTGCGTCTACGTTATTTTTGTCACTTGCGCGAGTGTTTGATTTTATGCGAAAGACATATTGAGGGACATACATATGTACATATGTGTACATATATGCAAATATTTTTGAACATGCGAATGAAGGAAGGCAATTTCAAGAATATTCACATATAGACATATGAACATTGAAGCAAGTAAACAACAATAGCTGTTTGAGTTCACAGATTAGACAAAGTAGCTTAAATGTCGTCTGTGGTGCTGCTTGTATAGCAGAGTTTTTTATTGCAACGTGAAATATTTTGCCTAAGTTCAAAACCTATCATATTTTTATATAGTCTTTTTTTATTTTTATAACCCTTTTTTATTACATGATATTTGAATTCTATTTTCATATTATTTCCCTCATTACTTATATTTTCTTTTCATAAGTCAATTATTTTCTTTTTTATTATTTTAAGTTTTGTTTATGCGCATATCAAAGAACATCTGTGCATATGTATGTGTATACATTTTGCTTATAGAGTGGTGTAGTTCTTTGCGTACCCTGATAGGTGTGGTGACATTTTATTTTCGAACTTGCGCGTTTTCGATGTTCCCTCATCGTAATTAACATTTTAGTACAGCTAACATTTGCTCCTTCTCTATTCATTTACATTCTCTGGTGCTGCAGAACTTAACATTTTTTTACCATGACTTGAATGAGGCATCAAAGTAATGAATTTCAGCTGAAATATAGCGATTTAAATATATGACTTCTATATATATCCGTGTATATGTATGTGCAGTTATGGATAGGGTCATACATTTAGATTTTGCAAACGCCAATAAAAAACAACTAATTAAAGGAATTAACTCAAATACTATATTTCATCTTAGTCTTCATTTTCCTGCAATAAAAACGCAGTTTTTAGAACGTCCAATTATTTTGGAAGTTTTACTCTGACTTTTTCCTTTGATGCGCATTTTTCAATTGATTTCATGACTTTGTACGATGCATACTTAAACAACCTTAAGGAAATTAACAACTTGTCTTTCAATTACGAAACTGAAATATATATAGAAATATACCAGAAATGTATATTTTGTCGATGAAAGAAAATAAGAATTTTCGTCTACGCGTTACGGCGGTTTTGATTTTTTTAGCATTTATTAATTTTACCATTTGGTTTGAGCGTCCCTATTTAAGTGCAGTAACGTTAGCAGTTTGCAACGGCCATAGCTCATTCTTCTAGTTGATTAAAGTTCACTTCTGTTAATATGCCGGTTTAGCATCAGTTCAAATTGTTTACTGTAACTGTACTGATAAAAGATTAACACAATGATAAATATGAATGTTTGTATACAAAATGTGTGGATCAAACATTTAACATCTGTACTGATCATGAGTTAAAACCAGTTTAATAAAAATTCCCCAATTTTCAAAAGTTTACAGTTTATTCTATAATCAAGATAGTGATTTCGAGACAGATGTATGTAGTAATTGGTAGTTTTATGCCGCCTCATCTGTTACTGCTGTAGACAAACGCATCATATCTATATATATATATATGTCAAATATATACCATATACATATACCTATTATACACAAATCATTTAAGCACAATATGAATTATTGAGCCAGTATTACAGCAGTTTTTAGGTAACTACTGCTAATAGACATTGCAAGTACTTATTTCATAATTGATTCATATATATTCGTAGAATAAAAATTGTACTTAAATGTTAGTTTTTTTTTTACAAATGTTATATTTTTTTACTTGCATAAGAACGTTTGCAGAATATTATGTAATGCTGCAGCTGCTCCTGAGTTGTTCTTTCAAATTTTGTAAGCCTAAAAATAAATGAAATTGTTATATGGTAACATATTTACATCAAAATTATTAAATTTGCAGAATTGCTTACTTTTCATGGCTATCCTTTTCTATTTTTTGCTTTGTTTACTTTTATAATTATAGGGCTACAAAGTTTTTTTTGTAACCGCGCAAATATCCAAAAAGCGAAAAGTTTAAGCGAAGTTGCAGCAACGATAAAAATACAAAGGGTCGAGTAATGACGCTATGTGTGGTCAGCTATTAGACTAACTTTATTTGCAAAATTCTTCTCCTTAAATAATATTCTAAACAATATTTCAATTCCGCTATATACATAATTTCGTTTTGTATTATTGCATATCTACATAAGTATGTAAGTTAAATACCTTTAACAGTTCATAAAAAGAGAATAACGCAAATACCTACTTTACGCTATTACCATAGAATGTTAATGAATAGAGAAGGAGCAAATGTTAAATGAAATCTTTTTGAGTACTAATTTGTAATTCCAGATGAGGGAACATCGAAAAATATAACTTCGAAAAAGAAAAATACACCACACAATATGCGAAATGCTATAAGTAGACACAACGAATATTCCTAAATGAAAAATCGTTGCGCATACCTATTTAGATTTATGTTTTCAATTTCTATGATATGACAAATTTATAATTATGAAAAGCCTTCTGAATTAAAAAGCTGTATTACCGGTAAAAACCCCAGAATTCATAATAAAATAACCTTTGATATGCAATTTTTCCAACTTTTGTATGTGCGTTGAGAGAGTAATTGCTTATTGAACAAAAAATAATAATAAAACGGTGGCTAAGCGGCCGCGTTTCCACTTTTGTGGTGGCTTAGGTCGTAAGCGCGAAGGAGTTAAGCTCATTCCGAATACGAGCATATAAGTTCGAGTCCTAAAACTGATGTAAATTAAATTTTATTTAATTTTTTTATGTTATTAATTGGAGTCTAAGCATATCAAAATTCAATTTCTTTAATAGCATATTTTCCTTTCTGATATAATCAGGAAAATATGTTCATATGTTTAGGTTTATTGAATATTTCCTTATTATGCGTATTTACACAAATGTGATAATCACACATGCATTCTTAAATACACGTACGCTGATGCTTGCTTCTTCTTGCACCGCACAAGCAATTTCTATTTTTTGTACACACTTTTTGCTTTTTGCGAGTTGAACGATCGCAGGCAAGGAGGGATTGCGGCGCACTGCCACATAATTATTTCAGATATATATTTTATTTATCGAATTTAGTTTAAAAACGATTATAGGTATGAATATATGTGTATTTATATATTGTATATATATACTATATATATTATATTACGAAAATAATTCATAAATGCATCAGTATTTTTCAATACAAATTAAGCAACATAATAATATACTAATAGTCCTCAGTTAGAACGCCTCTGTGTATAGTGGCAAGCCAACGAAATAACGGCGAGTTCGCGCGGACATTGTGTTGTTGAAAAAAACCAAATGACGACTTTGTCCACAAACATACATATGTATATACATACATACATACATATATGAGCTCGCATACATATTGACACCAAATTGTTTGAATTGTCGCGGAGTTGACAAAATTTGTTTCAATCGACAATTTTGCGTCAATGTCGGTCGGCTATGTTGTCTCGTTTGTCCTTTTTGCAGTGGATTGCTATTGAAAGTTGACTTATGCTCTTTTGAAATATTG